CAATTTCCTTTGAGCCCGAAACTTTTGTAACGCGATGATCAGGGCTGACATGTGATGTGCAATAGTTTGAAAAGGTAAGATGGAGTTTTTATATAAATTTCCTGTATGCGAACATTTCGTTCATTGCCTTCACTTGTCCAGCTCATCGAAGGTTTAAAGGAAAACAGCCCTCGTAATACCGTTCAAAAGATGTTGAACGATAAGGGCAACGTGAATTCCGTCACGTGCTCTTGCAGAAGTAGCCTGCACACGTGCGAGGGATATGTTTTAAGATGACTTAATATTTCTGGTATCATATATCACTCACATGAACCTCTGGGGTTTTAAATTAAAGCTACGTGTTTATATTGTGTTTCAATTAAAAACATGTGTCACACGATTTAGACGATTTTCTATTAAAACAATTATCAAAACAACTTAACTGGGATATCTTCAAGCGACATAGTGGTAATCAATCATGTGCGCTACATGTAGCGCACAAAGGTAGAATAGAGTGCACTTTGCAAGCACCTGCTTCTTTGCGAGCTGGCTGAAGTCCTGTAAACTCAAAGAAGACTGTACGGCGAATTATACGTCAACCTCCAATCGAGATCTAGAAAACGCCAGTTTATTAGTTGAAGTGTGTGGATAATTGCCTAAATTTAAGATTAGCAATTGTTGCATCAACCGGAAATGTTACGCGACATTGGTAGCATTTATGCAATAAAAAACTGCAATTTAGAAAGTGACTGCCAAAACTACGCTTACAATCTGGAGTATTTGAATGCAACAAAAACAAGAAAATGTTGAATAAGGAAAGCGAATAACATAATTTAAAAATAATCAATGCCTTATGAAGTGAATTGTACAACCATCATTAATATTATACAAAATCTTCTGGAGACCTGCTTCAAACCAGTATGACCCCATCCAAACTTGTGTTTCCCCGCGTCGGCCACAAAGAAACGCAGCGAAAGATAAAGATTGAGCAGAAGGTCCATTGAATTCCGAATGTTCACCCGGCAGCCGTGCGGAGTGGGATTTTCCCTAGAGTTCCTTAATGTTCTCCTTCTTATTGTGGTGCCACCATAATTTAGTGACCCAATTCCCAAAGCACGCCATCAGATAAAAATAAAATATAAATTACGTGAACCAAAATGCTGTAGAAGCAATTGTGGGAGCTAAGAACTCAACCCGAGAAAGCTCTTTAACGTGCTCAGCACGAAAGAGAAAGAAAGAATAGTCTTTCCAAGGAGAATGACCTGATTACAGCAAGGGGTTGAGTTGGGTGTTTGTCTCGTGTTTTTTTTTTTTTTTTTTTTTTTGTGGTAGCCTTTGAGGGCTATATTCCATGATGTACAACGATATAATCGCGCCACGCTAAGCTTTCCGATGCAAGTCGATAACCATGCAGGAGGCGTGACGCATAGTTAACATTGACTAGCCGTGACGGAATTTGTTTTTGTTATCACTGACAAAGGCAGGGAAATCGTCGTGTTCGTGTCGTTTCGAAACACTTGGTTACTTAGAAAAATTTTATACGAAGAATGTTCAGCTTAGACCTAGAGAAAATAGGAGTCTGGGATTTATGTAGAACTTTGATGTAAGCACTTCCTCGCCAGACCTCCTTATATATATATATATTGTTAGAAAGGAAGAAGTGAGGCTAAGCCAAAAAGGCCCCGCACATCTCGAGCAGCAGCGGAAACGCTCGAGCTGCGCTCGGACGATTGCTCCAACGATTCTCCTGGCGACCGTACCACGCTTGTCGAGCACCACATCGATACTGGAGACTCCCCTCCACTCCGAAGCAGACCATACAGAGTATCTGCCCCAGAACGTAGACTGATTCGAGCTCACATCACCGACATGCTAGAAAAAAAAGTGGTTGAACCTTCATGTAGCCCATGGTCCTCCCCCGTGGTGCTTGTAAAAAAGAAAGACGGCACCTGGCGCTTCTGTGTCGACTACCGCCGCCTTAACAAAGTGACACAAAAAGACGTCTACCCACTGCCCCGAATAGACGATACCCTCGACACGCTACGAGGGTCGTCCTACTTTTCATCCATGGACCTCCGAAGCGGGTATTGGCAAGTTCCTCTTGCGCCCGCTGACAGGCCCAAAACAGCATTCATAACACCTGATGGCCTCACTTCAACGTCATGCCGTTCGGCCTCTGCAACGCGCCTGCGACATTTGAGCGCATGATGGACGCCCTCCTCCGTGGCCTTACCTGGAACATTTGCCTGTGTTACCTTGACGATATTGTTGTCTTTTCTTCTACCTTTGACGAACACTTATCTTGGCTTCGTAGAGTTCTTGACTGCATGCGTACTGCTGGCCTGCTATTAAATTCTAAGAAATGTACTTTTGGTACCCAGAAAATCAAAGTCCTCGGCCACTTGGTCACCGCAGACGGTATACGACCGAACCCAGACAAACTGCGGGCGGTATCGCAGTTCCCTCCCCCACAAAACATCAAGCACTTACGGACATTCCTGGGTTTGTGCACCTACTTCAAAAAATTTATTTCGGGATTTTCCGATATCGCTGAGCCTCTCAATCACCTGCTACGGAATGGCATCGCTTTCACGTGGGGTCCCAACCAACAAACCTCCTTTGAACGCCTCAAGACGGCCTTAACCTCGGCTCCCGTTCTTGGCCACTTCGCCGAAGGTCAAGACACCGAAATCCGAACTGACGCCAGTGGCCATGGAATAGGCGCTGTTCTCGCCCAAACTCACAACGGACACCAGCGCGTCTTAGCATACGCTAGTCGAACTTTAACCAAAGCTGAACGCAACTTTTCTACCACCGAGAAAGAATGCTTAGCCGTCACATGGGCTGTATCCAAGTTTCGCCCTTACTTATATGGCTCCCCATTCCGTATTGTAACTGACCACCACGCCCTTTGTTGGTTGGCTAGTTTGAAAGATCCATCCGAACGTCTCGGCCGCTGGTCATTAAAGCTCCAGGACTACATCTTCACTGTCGTATACAAATCAGGGAAGCGGCACCTCGACGCCGACAGCTTATCTCGATGTCCGCTTCCAAACGAAGCGCACCTTCCCCCTCATGCCCTTGGGACAGATGACACAGCAACTCTAGACAACATCAATATGGCTACAGCGCAACTCTCAGACGATTCCCTGCAGCCATTGATTCATTATTTGCAAGGCCAACCAACATCGTGCCCTCAGCGCACCAAACGACGCGCACGTCTATTCACTCTTCGTAGTGACATTCTTTATAGACGAAACTACGAGCCCCAAGGACGACCATGGCTCCTTGTAATTCCAAGACACTTACAAAAGAAAATAATAGCGGCAAATCACGACGACCCCACAGCCGGACACCTTGGATTCGCTAAAACTTATTTCAGAATCCGTGAAAACTTTTTCTGGACCGGCATGCACCGCACTATTAATAAGTATGTGCGCGCATGCCATTTATGTCAAGCAAAGAAACGACCAACAACTGCACCTCCTGGACCACTCAGGCCGCTTTCTCCACCAAGCCACCCATTTCAGCGCATAGGACTCGACTTCCTCGGTCCGTTCCCCCAGTCGCAAGAAAAGAGTCGATGGATAATTGTCGCTATCGACCACCTAACCCGGTATGCCGAAACGCAAGCGCTCCCCGCCGCCACAGCTCTTCATGCAGCCCATTTTTTTCTTCATTCCGTCCTCCTCCGACATGGCGCCCCCCAATCTATTATCACGGACCGCGGCACGCCGTTTGTAGCAAGCCTTCTTCGAGAAGTCTGCCGCCTTGCAAACACAATTCATAACGTCACCACTGCATATCATCCGCAAACAAATGGCTTGGTGGAACGGTTCAACCACACACTGACCGATATGATCTCCATGTATATTACAGATGACCAAGACAACTGGGATTTAATTTTACCATACGTTACATACGCCTACAATACGAGCCGTCAAGCCACCACCGGTTACTCTCCGCATCACCTCTTCTATGCACGCGAGCCACTGTCTACAATCGACACGCTTCTGCCATACATAGACGACTCTTCTCTAGATGTTTACACCCAGACCATCCTTTACCGCGCGGAAGAAGCTCGGCAACTTTCCCGCATTCGAACATTAGAATCACAACAGCAACAAACTATGCGTCACGCCGAGCACCACACTCCCGTTACCTACAACATTGGTGACGAGGTTCTCATTTGGACGCCCTCTCGCAAGCCAGGAAAATGCGAAAAGTTCCGAAAACAATTCCGAGGCCCCTTTCGCATCTCTCGCCAGCTGTCCACAACGAACTATGAAGTGACTCCAGTCATTCCCCCCCGGGACAACCGCTCCAAACCTACTGATGTCGTTCACGTCGCTCGACTGAAGCGCTACCACCGCCAAGTCCCCTAGCACCATGGCCGGCGGACCGGCCCTTTTTCAACGGGGAGGTAGCTGTTAGAAAGGAAGAAGTGAGGCTAAGCCAAAAAGGCCCCGCGCATCTCGAGCAGCAGCGGAAACGCTCGAGCTGCGCTCGGACAATTGCTCCAACGATTCTCCTGGCGACACCATCATAGTCAAATCTCTTCATTGTATTAAACTCATCTATTCACCAAGAGCCTGACAATATATATATATTGCTTAGAATCAAAGTTAGCTTAGAGACTAAAAAGTTGCAGCTACAGGACGCGCAAAGATCGAGTTCCTAGCGGTAAAGGGGGACGGGATTGTGAGCATCTGATATATTCCAAATAGACGATTGATCATGATAGCAGTTCTAGCAAAAGAAAAAAAAAACATCCAATTTTTTTTTTTGACCAGAGCACATTTACATTTTCCGGATAAATGCAACTCTTCGACGGCAACACTTGAAATCATTACTCCACATCGTAGACCTCACAAGCCCACGTCCATTTTTGTCCTCTCGCATTAAGAACTGAGAAAGTCGAAGGACTATTCCGAGCTCCTCGCGAGACTGTGGGTATTGATCGATTCGGATGGCACCACCAGCCCGATTTTCATCGCAAGAACCAGAAAAAAATATCTCACCTGTCCTAGTGGCATTCCTTGTCCGCACAGCGACCCCGGCGTCCACACCACGGGACTCCAGGAAGACGAGTATAGAAATCACAACGACCCCACTGATCACGAAACCGCTCCGACGTCCAACACAAACGGACGCAGACCGCATGACGTCCTACCAGACGTCGCACGCCCGCCAAGCTATCACCACAAAGAACGCCTGTTAACAAGAGCACAAAAATGCGGCCGACTCAGTTGTTTGAAAAAAGGGGAGACACGCACACCGACGTCCACTCGACACCTCGTCACGGCATCCGCGAGGCAACGCGCTGACGGAGGGCAGAAAACCACGATGTCACAAGCGGCACGAGCCAGCTCACGGCATGGCTTCGAGGACGACGGTGCTCCGGAGAGGCGCGACTTGGTGCCGGCGTCGGTGAACGAGCATTACGGAGGACTGCACACCGGTCGGGAAGCGACGCGGGACTAACTGCTGGCGTCGCCGGTTGCTCGCCGAGCGGTTCCGCGGGTAGTCCATCTATCTCTCTCGCTCTTTTTCTCCAGACTTGCCTCTTTTTTTCTTTATCGCTTGCTGAGCCGGCTGCGACTTTACGTGCCGCGAGTGCGAGCCGAAGGAGTTTTCGCGCCTGCCGCTGATAAGCTATCAAAGTCTGCCTCGTCGTGCCCTCACATCGCCGCAAATCGGCCCGGCGTTTTTTTTTTTTTTTTTTTTTTTTTTGCTTTTTTTTTTTTTTTGCTTTTTGATTAGGGATATTTGTTTGTTCCTCAGGGGTTTAACATCAGAAATTTTACGTCATCTGTTCCTAACTAAAGAACATTTCTGAAAAAAAAAATATTAGTAATTTTTATGTATATGCAGAAACAGAAGGTAGAGTTCGGACAATGATCAGAAAAATTGTTCCCTTCTAGAATATGACCAAACATGGGCATTTGCAGCATATTTTGTGTGCGGCTCTTTTTCACAAAATACCGTGCAAGGGTTGTCGCATTAGCCGATATAAGTTCAATTTCCTGATCGTTTTTTTTCCTCACCTGCTTTAACTATTGGCTTATCGTGTTTCTTTTTTTTTGTACTGATATCTTTTTTTTTAAATGGCGGACGCTTGAAAAAACTGAATGAGGACCCCAGCTATTAAAGCAAAACGGGAATGAAATCAGCCACATGCTATCATAGCCGCATTACTCAAGTTGCGCGTTCATAGACCACGATGCGTATGCTGCGAGACAAGATTTAGTCAATGACGTCCCCTATACGCCAGCAACCGACTTCTCCGGTACGTGAAGGATCGTGCAACCCGGATATCAAAAGCGCCATAGTATGACACCTGGTAAACACGACAACGATACAAGAGTCGAACTCAATCGGCCAGGTGGATATAGAGCGCGTTTTGTGAGTTATTAGTTCTGCGGCAAAGAGCAAACTAAACGAGCCATCGTAGCGTACGTATTGCCACCAGGCTGCATACATTCCAGTAGACACATATTTTGGTGCGGACTGGTTGGAAAGATATCAGAAACCGAAGAGCTCGGCTACTGATAATGGGTATATTTAGTGTAGTGAGAGCAGCGCCAGGCTGGGACAACCGGATGCGTGTCTTCGGTGCGCGGCCTTGGACAACGCGAATCTACCGCCTTCGATGTTCTGCGGCTGCCAGCGAACTTAGATACGACAGGTCGAGCTCACGCCACCGAAGACCCTTCCGCCGCAGCACGTCCATTCCCGACTGCTCATCGACTCTGCAAGACGCGCATAGCGCTTAAGCCGTACTCTTTGGCGGTAGCACTAACTTTATGCACAAGGAACGCCAGCGGAGTGTATTAATCTCGTCCGTGTCCTTCGGTTGCGTTGATCGTGACTTGGGCCCCGATGATCCCTCCAAAAGGAAGACGCGTAGAACGCAAGTGCGATTTGAGTTGTAGCCGAAGGTTGATAACAAAATGGAGACGTCCTTGTGACTGTTTATCACCTGATTAATTGGCTACCGGTTGCGATTATGATGCTAAGTCGTTGAACCCGGTACTGATAGCGTTACTGAGCGTTAAAAAACTTAATAAATAGATCACGCGCGAGCAAATGTAAGGTAAAGCCGGGGTCGATGAGTGTAATTTTATGTAGACTGCCAATTCGCTCAACCAAAATGCGCGTCTAGCAGACGCACTAAAAATACAAGATGTCTCCCTGTTATTATGGGAGATAATGGATGCAGATTAGACGGGAGACGACCATTGTATTTCTAGATCAATCAAACGCAGCCTTTTAACTTTCGCTTTGGGATAGATGATGAATCATCGATATTTGCCGGACAAGGCGGGCAGGTTGGAATCAGGGCAAAAACCATGCCTATCGGGCTTCTTTTCATTCTTGCTAAGCTTTTGCTCCTTCTACACAGAAAAACAGCTGTTACTTCGGGCTCTGCTTCTGAGTAATGTAATCGTTTTGAAGATGTCTACTTCGTCGTTACGTTTTGCAACTTCACAATGCCCAGTACACTGTATAAATATGAGGTGTACTGGTATGCCGGGAAAACACATGGAGCACAAACTCGCTCGCCTTGGCAAAATCTAAAGTGGGCAGTGCGACCACATAGCAAAAGGCTATCAATTTTTTTTTTTGCTTAGGTTTGGTTTGAGGATGATGACCGAAGTTATTGTTATGAGCCTTGCATGTATGTGTTCTTTTATGTCACAACAAAACGTCTGGGGAAACAAAATAAACTTCTGCCGACGTCCCAGCCCCATGCTACCACAGCCTGCAATAAAAAAATAAAAAGCAAAGGAGAAATTTTACTATGTTTAGCATGAACCATCCGGCGTTTAGCTTACCATTAATTGTGCTTGATGAAGTCATTATAATCTCGTGGGAGATCCCGCGGAGCTTCAAATATGTTTTCAGGGTTTTTTCCTCAATGTTTTGAAATGAATTATTAGCTTGCGTTATTTTGGCTTGGATGTGATGTCTCTTTAGAATGTCCTAAGTTATATATACGAGTTTTTATAAACCGTTATTTGGCACACATTTTAGTTTGTATACAGTGACTGCTTCTTAGCCCTTAGTTTCTTGAGGTTCTAGAACACACGCTTAAAATTTGTAGTCAGCTCTGTCCAGGGATGTGCCATATCAAAAAAAAAAAATCTACACGTTGTCTTAATTATGCGCAGTGTTCTTTTCATCGCAAAAATTAACTACAGACCTCCGAATACTCAATCTCCTCCAGAATGTAGCGCTAGCGGTCTTAACCAGATGCGAAAGTTTCACCAAAAACCGTTATTTTATTCAATAGCTATAAATTGTTTTCTAAACTTTTAAATTAGAAAATTGCAGCCGACAGAGGTCTCGAATAAATGGAGCTATACCATTCTAGTTACCGAAAACGGTCAAAAATATACCCAATCTGTCCATAGAAGGTTTTAGAATATCACTTTAAACTCTCGAATAAGGTTGCGGTTAGTGCCGACACCTCGGCATTTGGTTCTAACCGCTTGCGCTACATTCGGGTAAGGTAGGAGCGTTCGGCGACGCGAAGTTTATTTTCCCGGTGAACAACGTGTCACTGTTCATGTATTTTCAATGCGTATTTTATATATTTACAGTAGTTTGTTTTTCAAAAGGAAAAGAATCAATGCAACAAACAAGGACAGATGATAAAGTACCATACAGGACAAGCGCAGATTATCAAACGATGAATTAAGAAAAAAAGTGAAAGCCGCTTACAACTCCCTGTAGCGCCAAATTAGAGCGCAGCTCTTGAGGAGGAGGAGGGAAAGGTAGTGAGGGGAGGGTATACCCCTCCTCCTCCTCCTTCTCCTCCTCCTCCCCTCATTCTTCAATCTCCTCCGGGGGTGTCACCTTACCTTAGGGTTACGCCCGGGTTACGCCGACGGCGACGGCGACGCCGACGCCGCTCAAACTGGAAACGGGCCCCTAAGCTGGAACTCAGCTCAAACTGGAAACGGGCACCACGTTCAAGACATTGGGCGTGTTGTTCTCAAACAACATGTCTTGGACAGCGCACTTAGATTACGTTATTTCAAAACTTGCTTGTATAATTGGTTTGATACATCGACACCGTCTAATTCTTCCATCAAGTGTTACACTACTTTTGTATAACACACTATTTGTATCTCATTTAAACTATTGTCATTTGGTATGGGGTACCGCTACTAAAACAAATTTACATAGAATATTCATACTGCAAAAGAGAGCGTTAAGACTCGTGTGTGACGTGCCTTATCTTTTTCACACGGACCAAATTTTTGAAAAACTCGGGGTACTTAAAATACATCAACAATATGAATACAGGCTTATCATGAAGTATAAACAAGAATATTCTGTGATAGACAGCTTCCTGCTAAGCTTGGCATCCCTTAGGAAAAAACAGCTGACACATTCTACTCGCCACTCAGATTTCTGGATGGTTGGTACATCGCGTACAGATTACGGTCTTCAGATGATTAGAAATACACTTCCAACGTTACTAAACACTTTCCTGAATTCGAATATTGATATATTATCTTCTAGCCCGCGTGAGTTACGTGACTATCTACTTTTTATAATATGTTGTTTATCAGTCGTCTAGTCTTCATGCAATTTTTTTTTGAAGTTGACAGCCTGTTAGTCATCTTTTTGTTTTACCATAACAGCGTTTTGTGGTTGTTTCTGTTTATTTTGCTGTTGCTTTTTTTTCTTGCTTGTATGTAACTTGGCCCCGCTGTGTACCTGTTCAGGGGGCTGGAGACCCGTCAAGCTGCTTTGTCAGCTTTTTCTCCAGCTCCCACCATATGTGATATGGTGAATAAAGTTATTATTAAGAGCTACACTCTAAAAAGCATACCAGCATCAATACTCGGTTTCACGTTAAGGCGACCGCAGTCAACGGCACCGCCCAATGCAGCCATTTATGATGCTCAGAAGCACACCGTCATGGCCCTTCTCATATCGTTTGCTATCACCGGCTATCACCTGGTCGGCGCAACTCCTGCACCGGGAAAACTGTGAGGCAGAGAGGAGACTTTGGGTCGGAGCCACTTCGGAGGCAGTCCCAATTTTCCCATGTCCTGCCTGTGCCCAGCTGTGTCAGTTAGTTGCAGGTCTTTTCATTATCCCTAGATAAATTTCACCAGTCTTCCAATCTCCTTTTTGTTATAAAATGCCCTTACCCTCCATTCTTACGTTCTCGTCTGAAAACCCTACCGCTCCTGCTAAATCCATCGCCCCCTCCGGGAGTGCGGGATTACGCCCTGCGCACCTCACCACCCCATGTTCTATTGTCTCGTCTTCCCCTTAGCATACGACACAGCGCGTGTCTATTTGCTCATATTTATCCTATATGCCCTGATCCTCAATATTCCTGCTGTAGCCTGCGAGCTTCTAACTCCCATTCACACAGACCCTGTCCTCGGATGAACATGTCACAGTAATACTTCGCTCTCGGCAAACAGGTTTATTGACTCACTTATTGCCTGGGGGGTTT